AGATGGTGCCCGGCTATCGTTGTCAACCACTTGGAGGGGGGTCTATGTTGGAGATTCTGGAAAGAGTGGGAGAACAATGTGGAACAAAACTCAAAATCATTTAAAAAAAAAAAAAGGAACAAGGTTTGCTGGTCTGATAGAACATGATGGAACCACTGAGACTATGGCCCCTAGCTGCCCTTCCGACCTGTGAACCCACTCCTGTGGCTTCCAGCCAAACAAAAGACAGGCATATGAGCTGAATATTTACATTAGGTAAATACACTACTTGGAGAGAATAACCATGGGAGAACAGAAGGGCTGTGTATATACAGGGAGACAGCTCAGGGGACAGGCACGCATGGAGAGAAAGACACAGAGAAGAGGTAACTATGGGGAGGAAGTAAGAGGGGAACTGTTGCATTGTGGTAAAACAAAGTGTATGTGAGCTGCTGTATGGAAAGTGAATTTGCTCTGTAAACTTTCACCCAATTCACAATAAAAAAAAAAAATGTTGCCACATCTGGAACCATATCACCCATAACACTGTGACTTTAGTCTAAAAAGATATAAAAATTGTTAGGATTAAGAAAAATAATGTAAATTAAAACATCTGTTATGTTTCCTTAGCCTGTTTAATACATTAGCTGAGATAGTTTATAGGATAGGACAGCCTCCAGAAAGAGGGTAGTGAGGCAGGCAATCCCACACAATGCCAGCCAGAATGTGAGGGTTTCTAAGCTTTCAGAAAAGAACCTGCTTCTTTAGAGCGAGAATTTTAAATAAATTCTGGCCCTCTACCTCAGTAATTTTGGAAATTTAGCCTAAGAAAATCACACCGTCATACAAAGAAATTCGGGGAAGTAAAACTAAATGTAAACAAAAGCCTAAATATATTACATAGGAGCTCTGGTAGCCTAGTGCTTAAGGTACTTGACTGCTAACCAGAAGGCTGGCGGTCCAAAGCCACCAGCCACTCCTCAAAAGGAGGGTTGGGCGATCTACTTCTGTAGTGATACCACCTCGAAAACCCAAGGAGGAATCACTATGAGTCAGCCACACTCTACTAGCACATAACAACAACAACAATTTAGTCTAAATGATTGTCATTTATCATATGATTCAATCCTCCCAAACATAATGAAATCAATCTCATTTTAAGTACTGCTTTTAAAATGAGCAACCTGAGGCAAACTGTAATTTCATGTACAAAGTTACATAGATGATAAAGGAGAGAACAGGATTCAAACTCTGGCACTCTAACCCCCTCCCTTCCTACCACTTACTCCTGACCACTGCTTTGTAAAGTACCCTCATAATAAGGAAGACGGTTCACCAATTTTAAATGACAAAAAAAAACAGGACTTTCATCAGCAAGTACATAACAATTTAGTAAAAATGCATACATGTATGATAAAAGAAAGAGCTCTAGTGACACAGTGGTTGAAGTGCCTGAAGGTCAGAGGTTTGAATCCACTAACTGCCCCACAGGAGAACAATGTGACAAACTGTTTGCTTATGTAAAGATTACCGCCTTGCAAATACTGTGGGGCAGTTCAACTCTGTCCTATAGTATTACCAGGAGTTGGAATCAACTCTACAGCCATGGATTTGGTTTTTTGGTTATAACTAAAGAGTGAAAGGAAAAATTTTTAGGTGACTTTTGCTTCTTTCTAAATTTCTGATTTTATTCAGTTTTTATAAAGAATTTGGTTTATTTTGATAGATTAGTTTTAGCTTTTACATTATGCTTTAGCTTTATAGATCAAGCAATTTAAGATTATTTTTGTAAAGAATAAAAATATTTCTGAGGTTTCACAAAGTGCTACCCTCAACAATAAAGTCATCTAGAGAAGCAAGGTATTTTGGAATTTCTTAATTTAATGGATTTAAATTATCACTTTTGTTAAAAATCTTTTCACAGTGATAAATAAAATGATAACAAGAAAGCAAGTTTAAGCAAGCTAGAAAGTTATATATATATATGGTGGCAAAGTGTTTAAGGCATTTGACTGTTAACCAGAAGCTTGGAGGTTCAAACCCACCAGCTACTCTGCAGAAGGAAGATGGGGCAATCTACTTCCATAAAGAAACCCCAGAAACCCAATGGCGGTCACTATGAGTCAGAATCTACTTTGATAGTAATGGGTTTGGTTTTGGGAGCTCTGGTAGCATAGTGGCTAAGGCACTTGACTGCTAACCAGAAGTTTGGCAGTTCAAACCCACCAGCCACTCCTCTGAAGGAAGATGGGGCAATCTATTTCCATAGTGATACTGCCTTGGAAACCCAAGGAGGGGTCACTATGAGTCGGGTCTGACTCGATGGCACATGACAACAACAACAACAACATATATATATATATATAAGTTGTTTGCTATCCCATCCATATTGACACGATTAGGTTCCAGAGACCAGGCCATTATGTAAACATTGGTGCTACGAAAAAAATGGAGGATGACCACATCAGATCACAAAATGGAGGAAGACTACATCATTACATAGCTGCCAAATTATGTCATTGCATAACTGTCAAACCACTGAGAATCATGACCCAGCCAAGGTAACATGTAACCTTAACCATCACAGCCTGTGTTACTCTCACCTGGCACCTCAGTGTTTGTTACTGCCAGAGATACATTATTAATACAAAAAATAGTCAGTAGATTATTTACTGTTGTAAATGCAAAATGTTGGATAACAAAATAGCCAGTAAGTGGAGTAGATGTATTTGTATAGATGTGTATCAAGAATATAAGCTTCTTGCAATTATTTTGATATTTCAAAATACATTTGTGTATATATGTAAGGTAGCATGTTTGTTTTTATTTTTAATACAAACGATGTAACCAACAGATTTTCCTCACTGTTATTGTATCTCTAATCCTCACTTCAGATCTGGATATTTTTACATTCTATTTTCATCATTTTTCTATTTCTGTTTTAGTTAGGTTGCTGTTATTGTTGTTATGTGCCCTCGAGTCGGACCCGACTCATAGTGACCCCTCCTTGCATTTCCGAGGAAGTATCACTATGGAAGTAGATTGCCCCATCTTCCTTCTGAGGAGTGGCTGGTGGGCTTGAACTGCCAGCCTTCTGGCTAGCAGTCAAGTGCTTTAGGCACTACGCTACCAGAGCTCCCATTTTAGTAATAAGGAGATTTTAAAAATCTCATTCCAAAACAACACTGTCAAAGTTTCCAAAACATGTCAGGTTCCATTTCTTTAGCTTCTTCCACTTTCTCAAAGTAGGTTTATTGTCTTTATTTGCACAATTAACATGACCTGTTCCTAAGGTCTGGAGTACAAAAGCAGACATACATCTATTATTCCTTCTAACTAATTGCTCAAGCATCCATCTACCTAAAAAAGTAAAAGTTGAACATATTTTATGAGGCTCCTAGTGTTTATCAGCTGTCTAAGATCTACTACAAAGGATAGCAGACTTCCTCTGATTTTAAGAGGCTGCTTGAGTTCAGTCAGTCCCAAACTACTATTGTTTCTCAGTGCTACATTATGTTGAATTTTAAACTTTATTCTCAAACCATGTCTACTCAGTAACTGTGTCTGGATGATGCTCTAAACAAAGGACTACTCAATGTTTTGTTTTGTTTTGTTTTTTCCTGGTCTCATTTATAACACGGGCTTCCAAGGACAGGATGTTTTGTCCCAAGTATGTGCAGCTTATTGTCTCTATGCTCACAAGACACTTAGGAGACCAGCCAAACAAAGTACAGGCATGTGAGTTAAACATTTACCTCAAGTAGACACACGCC